CCGCCAAAAGTAGTGAGGGACAGAGAGTCCAATAGACGCACACAAACACAAAAAAAAGAAGAAACAAGAAAAAAAGAAGAGAAAAAAAAACAACAGATCACGCAACCTCTCCCTCCCTTCCCCCTCTCCAATTTATGTGAACAACACCTGAGCGTGTTACGTTTTTGTGTTTGCCCTCTCGTTCATTCTTTGTTACTGCAACTTTTGCGTGCATCCATGCGAGTGTCTGTCGATGCGTGTGGGTGCATGTGTGTTCCATATTGTGTTTTTGCGTGCTTGTTTTCCCGTCATTTTTTTTTACTGGCCTCTTTGCCCTCTTTGCGTCCGCTTCTTCTTGCTGCCTGTCGTGCGCCGGAAACGGAGAGATAAGAAGGCAGAAGGAAAGTGATCAGAACCTTAGGCACGTCGCGAGGGAGGGCCGTTGTGCTTCGTCAGTAGTTAGGGCGGCTGCAAGGGCAGGGCGTGAAGCGGGGCGAGACAGCAGAGTAGCGTGTGGTCCACGCGTTGCGCCGAGTCACTCTTGACGGAAGGCACCGAAGAGGCGCTGCGATCTGAAAGTAGACGCGGCTGAAGCAACACCAGCCAAGTCCGGCGGCGGTTGCAACTAAATTAAGCGGGAAGAGTAGGGCAGAAAGTGGGAGTAAGGCAAAGCTCCGGACACGGCGGGGAAGAGGAAGCCGGGGGAAGAGGACTGGCGGGCGTCAGGGGGGAAGTGCGCGTGCGTGCGTGCGTGCGTGCGTGCGTGCGTGCGTGTGGGGGGAGGGGTGGAGGCCTCACTGGGATCCGTCACCGCCTCCCTCTCGCTTTCGCTTTCGCGCCGCGTGACGCGACTGCTGCGGACCGAGGCCCACGCCGTTCGTCGGCCGCCACTGTCGAAGTCGGGAGCGGGACCCGAAGGCGGCAAACGGAAAGCAAGGCCAAGCAGCAAAAGCAAAAACAAACAAAAAAACAAAGGCGATAGCGGGCTGCTCGAGCAACATTTCAGTGTTTACCATAATCATAAGGAAAAACGGCAGCGTACGCGCCTGTGGAGAGTAACAACTTTGCGAAGGAGAGGAGAGGGTATATTTTGAAAAGCAAGGAGGGGGCGAGGATACCAAGGAGCAAGGAAGAGGAAGAAAAATAAAGTAGGGAGGGTTGAGTGTGTTTTTTTCTTTAATTATTTTGCCGTCATGATCGACGAACTCGGACACGATGGGGAGGAGGACTTTATCTTCAACGAGTATGCCATCGATGACACGCTGGATCCTTTGAGCCGTTTGCTAAACTACCACTCTTCGGCGTTCTCACTTCAGCGGGAATTTCTACTGCGCGAGGTAGGCGATACTGTGAGGTTCGCCGGCTTTGAGCAAAGTGCCAAACTGATTGTCCCAATCCTCACTGGGTTTGCTTCAGACTGTGAGCCTTTGGTGCGACAAATGCTGGTGGAGCAGCTCCCAGGGGTGGCCAAGTTTTTCGTGGAGCAAGGGGGAAACGCTGGGTATGAGTGCCTTTTGAGTCGGTTTCTTCCCATTGGATTTGAGCTTCTCATAGACAAAAACGTGGAAGTCGGAGCTTCGGCCCTGGCATCGTTAAAAGCGCTTGCGGAGCTGGTCAAGCCAGACGATGTTCATGATCACTTGCTGAATGTTGTTGTTATGCTGGCTCACGACGAGCGTGCGGAGGAATACCGCGTGGTGGCAGCACGTTTGTTTAACGAATTGGCTGCAATTTTTGGAAAAACCTCTTGCGTCAAGGATGTACTACCCGAACTGGAGCTCCTTGCGAATGATAGTAACTTTTCCGTCCGTAAAGCAGTTGGGGAGAACCTGGGAGAAATCAGCAAGGTGGTGGAGGAGGATACGGCGGAGAACGTTGTGCTTCCTATCTTCCTGAACCTTTGCAAGGACGAAATTTGGGGAGTCCGCAAGGTGTGTGTCGGCAGCATTGAGGGGATCTCCCTTGCTGTTGCCCCTGAGGCACGGGTGTCGAAACTGTTACCGGTGTATCACCTCCTGCTTCAAGATTCGTCGAGGTGGGTGCGCAATGGTGCCCATGACTCTCTTGGAAACTTTTTGCACACGCTGCGGCCTTCAGACTTGAGCCCGGCGTTGCTGCAGTCATATACAGATATGGCGTTCCGATCGGAAAACGGTGATACGTTATACAGTGAGTCATGCGCCTTTGCATTGCCTGCGGTGGTGCAGGTGGCGGGAAGAGAGCGGTGGAATGAGGTGGCAGACGCGTATGCCACGCTTCTCAAGGACGTAAAGTGGAAGGTTCGCAGATCGCTGGCGTATTCTCTTCATGAAATGGCCCTTATTTTAGGTCAAGAAATTGCAGAATCGGATCTTGTCGCCGCCTTTGAGTTGCTTCTGCGGGACTTGGATGAGGTGCGACTTGGGGTTGTGTTGCACGCTGATGTTTTTCTTGGTGTCGTGGGACCAGCAGTGCGGGAGCGGCTTTCCCCTTTGCTATGCCATGTTCCTTTAGAAAGCGAGAATTGGCGCATACGCAACGTTGTGGCGCAACGCATCGGAGATGTTGGTGTACTTCTTGACCCTGTCAATAGTACAGCCCTGAACATAATCATCAACCTAGTGGTTCGCCTCCTAGACGATAGTGTGATGGAGGTGCGCCGGTCTACGTATCGTTCGGCTGCGATTTTACTGAAACATCTCGCCAGTGCGGGGGGAGAAAACTCCTGCGGTGGGTATGTACATACATTAGTGCAAATTGCCGACCTCCACAGCTTTCGCGAGCGGCTGATGTTTCCCTACATCGCGGAGGAGGTGGCGAAGCTCGGCACACCCGCTTTGGTGGAGCAGTACTTTCTCAACGGCCTACTGAAGTTGGCGAGGGACGAGGTTGGCAACGTGCGGCTTGCCGTTGCCGCCGTCATGTCGCGTACGTTCCTGGTCAGCCCCTACTGGTCGACGAACCCAAGGATTCTGCAGGTCCAAAGCCTCCTCGATGAAAAGAATTCCGGCGGGTAACACTGGTCTTCTTCCCTTCCCATTTTGCCCACTCTCCACAGTCCCGGCAAAGGTGGACCAAACGGACCTTTCCAAGAAGAGCTCTACAATACGGCGAGAGGAATTGGAAGACGCAGACACGCACACACACGCACACACACGCACACACACATACATACCTATGCAAACTAAGACACAACAACAACCAAAGAAAAGGAAGGAACGCAAAAGAAAAAAAATAGAGGGAATAAATGAAATTGGCCACGGTCTGCACACTAACTTTTTTGAATATGCGAAGAGGGAGGGGAAAGGTGAGAAGGATGGGCGGGGGCGGGGGAAAGCCACTAGTATATGGAAAGCTGAATTTGACCGTGCCTGTTGCAGCGGCAGAGGGGGCGAGTTGCCGATTTTGCTTTTTCATTCCTTGCGTGCTGACAACTAACATTCAGGGCGGGGGGAGTGAGTGAAAGTTGACGGCGTAGAAGAGGCGAAAAAAAATAAAAAATAAAAAATAAAAATAATAAAAAAATGAATAAAATAGTAAGACAGCAA